CTTCTACAGCAGATGCTAAGAGGGCAAGTAGGAACCACTAATGCCAGTGAACTTCATCAGTCCTAAGCACAATGGGAGCACGGACGCCTGCCACTGCTTTCTCTTACACTGTGTCATTTAGGAGAGTTTTAAGCCTTCAGTGGCTCATACCGACTTCCTAACTATTATTTACAAATGAGCTCTGCAGGTCTGGATGATTTTCAACTTTTTAAATTAGGAAAGCATAAAACAGCACAACTGTACATGCACACAAAACCTCTCTACATTACAAAAATGAAGCTCTATACCCTTAGAACCCCGCTTTAAAAACCTGCTTCTGTATCTGCTTAATGTTCTATCAGCCTGGGTGTGGGAGAAATGCTGGCATGTTAATTTATTCAAGACAAATAAGTTTGAAAGATTATTAGATGAAGTTGTTTGATATTTTTATGATGATAAGTCATTAGAGTGTATGGTGCCCAATATCACTAAGAGTTTCCTATCACTAGGCAGAACTGGATATCTGAAAAGCAAACAAACCAAAACCAAACCAAACCAAAAACCTCAAACAACAAAAAGCAAAACTCAAAACCTGGCTGCTATTATATTCTGCTTACTTACACAAAATAAAACACCAGTGTGGGAAAGCCTGGATTCCTGAATGTAACCTAATTTGGGTAGCAAGAACCACAAGAGCAGCATTGTTCCATCCAGAAGATACTGATTGCAGATCTAATTCCATGAACTCCATTTGAAAACAGATTTTCTTTGATTAGCTAAAGTTCTTCAGTATTTGTGTATACTGGAATATCTTAAGCATGTGGACCAGAAACCCTCTACTGAACAAGCAAAGAAAATAACTCTGTGTGTGTGTGTGTGTGTGTGTGTGTGTGTGTGTATGCTGTGTTTGAAATTTCACATACGTCGATGGAGAGATGGCTCAGGGGTTAAGAGTACTTCTCTTCTAGAGGATACAGGTTCAAATCCCAGCTCCCACATGGTAGCTCAAAATTCGCATACACATGTAGTACTCTCAAAAGAGGGTATCAGATCCGCCATGCCTGGAGTTACACACGCTTGTGAGTTGTCATGTGGGTGCTGGGAACAGAAGCTGGATTCTCTAGAGCAGTAAGTGCTCTTCACAGCTGGGTCGTATCCCAGCCCAGGAACTGCTGATTTACAACTTCATCAGGAACTTGGCTTTGTTGACTGAGCCCAGGTATAAACAATGAGCTAGGTTCAACTTCAGCACAAGTTGAAGATACAGAAGTGAGAGGCAAGTGTAGGAGAGGAGGCCTTTCCGTGAAGAAAGAGAGCAGACCAGAAAGGACACAGCTCTGCCGACACTGCTTCACCACTGATACAGCTTTGAAGTTGGGAGCTTTTTATTACATTTCCTAAGAAAGCCACATCAAGCTGTGTAACAGGCATCTTTGTGTAAAATGAAGACAAGTTTTCTGCCTATACTCACAACTCATCCTTTTCATCACCAAATGTATCTCTATATATCTTATAATTTTGGCAGTATTTTGTACAGACAAATGTGTTAACTAGTAAGAAAATTAATTCAAACCTGTGAAGATATTCATCAGTTGTGATTACTGAACCTTGGCCATGACTCATGGCTGAAACAAAAGAAACAAAGGGTTTTCCTTTTCTTTCTTTTCTTTTCTTTTTTTTTCTTTTGGCAAAGTTAGGGTCTCAATATTTATCCCTGGCTGGCCTGAAATCCTCCTGTCTCTGCCTCCGGTGATTTTTCTTTTCTGTTTTTGTTTTTGTTTTTTTTTTTGAGACAGGGTTTCTCTGTGGAGCCTGACTGTGCTGATTAAAGGTGTGCATCAGCTGGTTTTCCTTATATTTAAAGATTCTTGCTATGATGTCTGATAATTATAAAGTACTTGAAATTCATCTATATATTTTTTAAAACAGTGCCTTAGAAATAAAGTGAAATAAAATCATATGTCCCTAGAGGTCATTTCTCCACAAAGACAGCTAACCACTAAAGCCATCAGCAATAAAAGGCTTATCGAAATGCATAACCCATTTTAACAATAACCAAATCAATACTACCACAATGAAGTGTTAACTCCTGAGAGCACCAGCCATTTTGTTCCGTTCAGTCATAGAGTCACAACTTAATGCTAGGAGTGAGCACACAGCATGACATATATAATTCTCCCAAAGTCAGGACTCAATGGCTAGAGACGGCTTCCAGGTTAAGCATGTGTACTGCTCTTGCTGAGGACCAGAGCTTGCTTCCCCATACCCACCACAGGCTGCTTGCAACTGCCTGTTAACTCCAGCAGGGGATTTGGTGCCCTCTCCTGGCCTCTATGGAGACCCACATGCAGATAACATAATTAAAAGCAAGATACAGCTTTAAAAAATCAGCATGCAAAAGAATTTCAAGAAAAACATAACCACATCTTTAAACATTAGAAATTTAGCACTAACAAAAATAACAGCCATGGCAGGTAGCCCCCACTGTGTACTTGACTTCCTGCAACTGCTCAAGTTTGTACCCGGAGAGACATTAGTTACAAAGCTCATTGTCATTTCATTTCCTAAAACTGTGATAATATATATTATATGATTACCCAGTTCTAACCAGTCAAAGGTGGATGGAGAAAACCTTGCATTACCTTGTACTGTATGAAACTATTGTGTCAAAATTAAAGCACTGTATTTCCCCTCCACTCCAAAGCACTGTTTTTTTTTTTTTAAGTTTGTCAATAATAATCTACAACAGAAACACTCTTTTCTACCAACAGGATATTAGAGGTTTAATATTCACACAATTCATCATTTTGTCACCTGTGTAAATTATTCACACCTGGGGGCTGAAGAGATGCTCAGTGGTTAAAAGCACTGACTGCTCTTCCAGAGGTCCCGAGTTCAATTCCCAGCGACTACATGGTGGCTCACAACCATCTGTAATGGGGTCTGATGCCCTCTTCTGGTGTGTCTGAAGACAGCTACAGTGTACTCACATACATGAAATAAATAGATCTTTTTTAAAAAAAATGATAAGAAATTATTCAAATCCTATAGTTACTACTTTTAATTGGAACGTGCTGTTTCCTAAAAAACAGGCCCAAATGGTAAAAAGCTAGCCTTCCATTAAATAATGGTCTAGGTATGAGGGTGGGTGACAAAGCTCACGGCTTGTCAGTTTTTTTTTTTTTAAAGATTTATTTATTATATATGAATACACTGTAGCTGTCTTCAGACACACCAGAAGAGGGCGTCAGATCTCATTACAGATGGTTGTGAGCCACCATGTGGTTGCTGGGATTTGAACTCAGGACCTCTGGAAGTGCAGTCACTATGCCTTGTCAGTTAACTGTGCTTCAGTGTGTTGAATCCTGTGACACACTAGAGGTACGGGCCTACTGTGTCAATGTATGTTTTCTGTTCATTAACAAAAAGATTTTTTAAGTCAAAAATATCTTTTTATTTATTCTTAAATGTATGGGTGTTTTGCCTGCATGTATGCCTGCGTCCCACACAAAGAGGTCAGAAAATGGTATGGGGTCTTCTGGAACTGGAGTTACGAATGGTTGTGAGCTCCCACATGAGTGCTGGGAATCAAACTCTGATCCTTCAGAAAACTCAGCTATTTCCCTTAACTGCTGAGCCATCTCTCCAGCCCTTAAGTCAAAGTGTCTTGATAACGTGGCTGCTGTCACCAGTCTCCTTCCCTTCAAGCTCACTGTAGTAATTATACTCTTTAAGAGAAGCATGGTGTTCAGAGCTTTTACATTTTAATCTCTTTATTATGTTTTAAGATGTTTTTGATGTTTTAAGATGTGTATCTGTGCATGCACAAATATGTGTACTTTGTATGTGCAGTGCCTATAAAGGCCAGAAGAGGGCATCAGATTCCCTGGAACAGGAGATACAGGTAAGTTGACCACTGTGGCTTCTGGGAACTGAATCCAGGTCCTCTGCAAGAGCAGCAGGGGCTCTTGTATACAGTGCCAGGCCACCAGTCCCATATTCAGAACTTTTTATGGTCATACTAATAATGAATGTCAAAGCATGATTAGAGATGGCCATCAATACCCCACTATTGTCTAAATTACTACCTACTGTCATGTACACCATTTATTTATTAAAGTCACAAGTTATGATCTTCTCCTAAAATATCTGTGTGTCATTTTAGAGGATCTTAGAGCATCCCTCCAGAGGTAAGGTCCTCTTAGGTGCCTTGCCTTCTCACACAGTAGAAACCACTAAGCCTGAAGCACAGCCCCAAGAAAGCTTCGGCCTTGGCTCTTCACTAGCCTTTACTTAAAATGGAGTTTGCACTTCCCTGAGGTCAATTTTACAGACTCGGATCTCCAGAACATTCCTCCAACCACCAGTGCTTAGTTCTCAGATCGGCAGAGCCCTGTAAGAATACATTGCCCTTCTGTCCCTCTCTGCAAGCTGTCACAGTGTTCACAATTCTGAAGACACTGTTCTATTATGTGGATAACATTAACAGAAACAAGAATAATTTTAAAAATTAGAGCATAATGCCAGCATAATTCTAAACAACACAAGTGGAAACACGCTATGCCGACTTTACTAAAATCAGTGAGCTGATAGTAGTAATTTCATGTAGCACAACCCACCAGTTAATTAGCAAATGCTACTTGGAAAGCCTGATGTAGACAATGAAATTCACATATTTCAAAGACCCTAGCAGAGGAAGAATCAGGTGTCAAAGTCTAACAATAAAGTAAAAACAACAACAAAAACCCAAACATTTAAAATCCATTAAAGATACACATTCTCCTATGTTATCTCCACACAGATTGTATTCAGAGAACTTGTTAAATTGGTCTACTCTTGAACCAAATATGTATGTTCACACAGTCAAAGTTTAGTGCTGAAATATATTTTTCAATGACTCTAACTTTTCAAAAGTTGCAACCTGCCTGTCATATATTATTTTGAAGCTTCAAGAGGCTTTTCTGTTTATGATAAATAAAAATGAACATTTATTTATAAATGTCTTTACAGCAACCCCCACATTAATCATATTTTAAGACAACAAGTAAAAACAATAAAATGAAGCATTGTGTTAGTAAGAAGTAAAATGTAATATTTTTGTGTGTGCATTAAAAAAAATAATGTCAAACATTAAAATCCTATGTCACCAAATCTCTGTTCTACACAGAAAAATGAACCCAGTTAGCTGATGGCGGTGCTTAGGCATCGCCGCTCACGGCAGGTGGACCAAAAGCCTCTCTAGTGCGCATCAGCTGGACATCCTTGTCAGCCATGCACGTGTCACAGCCCCACACTGCGGATGCTTCAGCTGTCAGGAGCCCATAGGCTGTTTCGGTCATTCCAGTGCAGATGCGATGAAACCACTTCTGACAAGAAGCCTCACACAGAATGGCGTCCTGATCATCATTCACTTCATTTGTACAAATCCCACACGGGTACACGGGGTCAGAAGATGAATGGCCATGCCGACCAGGGTGCAGGGAGAACTTCCGGCTTTTGTCGGTGGTGCACACATCAGCCCCGCCCCTGGGCTGCCGGGGCTTGTTCTGGGTCCCATTCGCCTGGTTGTTGGTGGCCTCTGCGCTGTCCGAACGGCTGTTCTCTTGGACAACGTTATTTCTGTTGACATTTTTTAACTCGACGTTACTCTGATTGACTGGATCCTCCATATTTAAGTGAGGTGGGTGAGTGGAAGAATTCTGATTTGTGGTTTTAGTTGCCCCTTGAGTAAAGTCTTGTTTGGAAAGTGGAGCTTTTGCTTGACCAAACGCGTTTGGGGGTGGAATAAACGAATGATTCGATTCTAATGGAGAGGTAAAATTTGAATTACTTCCAGGGGCAAAATTAGATGCCAGGTCAGGGTTAGATACTTGGCCAACATTCTGCGGGGGAATCTGACTAAAGTTTTCAGAAGAGCCTTGTCTAAAATGCTGACCAGGCATGTTAATGTCCTGAGTCAGTACGTTATTATAAGGTGGATTTCCAAAATTCGAATTATCGTGTGGCCCAAAGTTAAAAGCATGAGGCCGGTTAAAGCCCATGCCCAAAGGATTCTGAGGAAATGGGTGCGCCTGATTCCTGAGTGAGTAAGGACCACAGTAGGGAGATGACATTCTTGGAGGGATGTGGGGTGGCATTCTGAACGTGCTGTAGCCTCCAAAGCCAGGATACCCAGGGCTAAGATATGGATTGGATGAAGGCAATGGTTTATAGGAAATGGTGCTGTAGCTGTCATCGAAGGGGTTGGCGGCCACTAGATGGTCAGAGTTTGGGTTTGGCGGTGGTGCATACTCAGACAACGGAGGAAAGGAAGGTCCCTGAAAGGAGAATAGAAAGGGAAAAATAAACAGTCCTGATGCAAATTTAGTTTCTTCAATTGCCCTTCCTGATGTTTATATTTAATTACATTTGATAAAATACATAGAGCTGCAGAGATAGCTCAGTGGTCAAGATCGCCGACTGCTCTCCCAGCTCAGTGGTCAAGAGCACCTACTGCTCTCCCAGCTCAGTGGTCAAGAGC